AGTTGTGACCATTAAAAATTTGAATTTTTTCAATCTGTGACCTATAAATAAAATTTAATTCGTGGTGGAGAAATAATATGTGACCATAAAATTCGATGGTCACAAATGATTTTGGTGGTGGTCACAAATAATCTGGTTGTTTGTGACCACTAATTTGGTTAATTTGATAAATTGTGACCTAAATATAATTATTGTTCAATTAATGTGATGTTTGTGATCGTAAATAAGTATGTGACTTATAAATTTTGTGATCTGTGACCGATGAATAAATTGTGACTTTTAATTTTTTAAGTTGTGACCGATAAACAAATTGTGACCTATGAAAATTTTAAATTGTGACCTAAAAAATTTCGTCGGAGTTGGAACAATTGTCGGAATCGGAGAAGACGCCGGAATAAAGATGCGACCGAACGGTCATCGGAATAGTCGTCAGAATCGGAGTAGTAGCCGGAACGGTCGTCTGAGAAGATTGGTGATCGGAAAGGTCGTCGGAATAATCACCGGAACTGTAGGGGTGGTGGAGGTGAGGGTGAGTTAATTATAATATATTAGAATTAAATATTAATAATAATTTGATTTAATAATAATTATTTCATAAATAAAAATTTAAAGAAACCTGATTTTCGAAATTTGAAACGTGTTTCTGTATTTTTAAAATGGGTGAAAGTAAATACTTGATTTATGTATTGTTCTTCTTAATAATACCAAAAACATCCCTGGACACCAAAGCTACAATTGAATTAAAAGATTGGGCATTTAAGTGCTCAAATTAAGCCACCGATTGGCCCCCATTATTCCAAATTAAAATGAGAAAAATATTAATTTTTTGGAGAATATGTGATTAAAAAAATATTTTTGGACGTATAATATTATTTTATTGAAAAATGTGTGATTGATAAAAAGAGAGAAAAAAATGAATTATAATTTAATGAAGAATAATTGGGCCAAAAGGGGGCTAAGTTAATAATTCAATTGCTACAACAGCTGTAAGTTAGGGAAACATTGCAATTTCTCGACACTTCTCCATGTTCTTTTCTACTTTTGTGGGATAAGCAATATTTACTCATGTGAAATCGCAATTGTTGGGGCGGGCGACCGTGCTGCGGGAAGGGAAACTAGTGGCAGCAACGTAACCCAAAAGGTAATATCACAATGCAGTAAACGGTAACGCATACATGTATTTTCATGTATAAGGGTTGTTTTTATATGCCAACTGTTTATTGTTTTGCCTCATTGAAGTTGATTTCTCCATTCTCGGTACTGTTTTTTTCCTCCCATATTTAAGTGAGACAGATGTGTGATTGATCTTGAAGCCTGTGTGTTTGAGCAGAGATGTCAGATGTTTCATTTTTGACAAAGAATGCGTCTGCTAATTTTATATATTTTTTGAGCGACGTTATTCTCCAAGAATGAATTTTAAATGGTGTTTTGATGGAAAGTACGTGGTCAAAAAATAAGAAAAGATTTTGGATTTACTAGTAATATTTTTTATTGAAGAATACGTGGATGAAAATAAGAGAAAAAAAATATATTTTAGAAGAATGAGTATCAAACATGATGTTAAGAAGTCATTGATATGGATTTTGCTACATGATGTATATAATTCAAAGTAAACGGGTTATTCGTAATGGGATCGAGCCATATGGCTATTAAATAATATGAGAAAAGATTAAACATTCAACTTATTTTGATTAAGTAAATAGATATTCAAGTTGAAGATCATGAATAATGCAACCCCAGTTGATGTTTGCACCGTATATATATTAAATTTCTTCATCTGGGTCAGCAATAATTTTCATGCTTGTGTAGAGAGAGAAATGAATGATTTTCGAAAGTCAACAAATGTGAAGGATGGGAAATGGAGGAAGCTATTACTGACTAATTCCAAACATACCATTTCATTTGTAGCCAAAATCCATTTCTGTGTTTCCTTGAACTTTTCTCAATATGGGATCCTTCCTATTCTTTATCGTTTTTTTCTCCTCGTTATTGGCTCTCGTATATGGTATTTCCTATACAGAATTTGCATACCCAAATTTAACTGCTTCAAATTTCAAATTTGTAGATGCTTCTGGGAGTTTTTTGTTCTCTCGTAATGGGACATTTAAAGCAGCTATATTCAATCCTGGTGCACAGCAAATCAGGTTCTACTTGTGCGTTATCCACGTGGAATCCAGCACCATTATCTGGTCTGCAAATCGCGATACGCCTATTTCGAATTCAGGGATCATGAGTTTGACTGTGAATGGTATAGTTTTAAGTGAACAAGATGGAAGTTTGAAATGGTCTACTCCATGGTTGCAATCTTCAGTATCTGTCCTACAGCTTGCGGAGACTGGAAATCTTGTCTTGCTTGATCAATATAACAAAACTCTATGGGAGAGCTTCGGTAATCCAACCGACACAATTGTGATTGGACAGAAATTGAAAGTCGGGACGCTGCTGTCCAGTGGAACATCGAGCGATGATTTGTCGACGGGTAATTACGCTCTTGCTTTAACTGCATCTGATGCCACTTTGCAGTGGCAGGCTCTCACATACTGGAAATTATCTATGGATACCGCAGCTTATACAAACCCAAATTATGCTGTGGACTACATGGCAGTTAACCAAACGGGTCTCTATCTGTATGGTTCTAATGGTTCTGTAGTCGCGGTTCAGTTGAACTTGGCCCCATCTAACTTTCGGATAGCCAAGCTGGACGAATCTGGCCAGTTCATCATCAGTAGCTTCACAGGAGCTGACCAAAAACTGAATTTTGTCGGGCCAGTTGATGAATGTCGAATCCCATACATTTGTGGGAGGCTTGGTTTGTGTACAAATAGTATTTCATTAGATAATCCAGCGTGCTCTTGTCCATCTAGCTTCCATAGTAGTTCAAATAATACAACTGACTGTGTTCCGGGCAACAATTCTTACTCATTGGCAGTTTCTTGTAAGACAACGAATAACAGCAATCATATGAATCCTTCATCTTTGTCTTATATGCAGCTTGGATACAGTGTCGACTATTTCTCTAATGATTTTACTGTACCTGCCAAGTATGGGGTAAATTTATCCGCGTGTCAAGATCTGTGCTCGGGTGATTGTGCTTGCTTGGGAATTTTCTACGACAATTCATCTGGTTCTTGTTACGTACTTGAAAATGAACTGGGATCTGTTATCTCGAGAACCATGAGTAGCAGCCGGCTAGGATTTATTAAAACCATTTTCTTAGCTTCACCTACAAATTTTGGCAGTGACAATGATTTTACTAATGATGCACTAGGATTTCCTACAGCTGCTGTAGTACTGTTACCATTATCTGGTCTTATCCTTGCAATTGTAATTGGAATATTTTTGTGGAGAAGATCGAAGCTTCCCAAACTAGTGGAGGAGAAATCAAACCACTCAACCTTCCCCTTTTCTGATGATCTTGAATTTTCTATACCGGGATTACCCTTAAGATTTGAATATGAAGAGCTTGAGAGAGCAACTGAGAATTTCCAGACTCAGATTGGAACTGGTGGATTTGGAGCTGTATACAAGGGTATGCTCCCTGATAAAACATTTATTGCGGTAAAGAAGATCAATAATTTGGGTGTTCGAGGGAAGAAGGATTTCTGCACTGAGATTGCGATCATTGGAAATATTCACCATGTGAACTTGGTCAAGTTAAAAGGCTATTGCGCACAAAGAAGACAATGGCTATTGGTTTACGAATACATGAATCGTGGGTCGCTGGACAAAACCCTCTTTGGTAATGGACCGGTCTTAGAATGGCAAGAGAGAGTTGAAATTGCAATCGGAGTGGCACGTGGGCTTGCATACTTGCACAGTGGGTGTGAAAAAAAGATTATCCATTGTGATGTAAAGCCTGAGAACATTCTCCTGCACGATCATTTCCAGACAAAAATATCTGATTTCGGGCTGTCAAAGCTTCTAAGCCCCGAACAGTCCTGTCTGTTCACAACAATGAGAGGCACTCGTGGTTACCTTGCCCCCGAATGGCTTACAAGCTCCTCAATCACAGATAAAACTGATGTTTATAGTTTTGGAATGGTACTGCTTGAAATTGTAAGTGGAAGAAAAAACTGCTCATTAAGAACACGAAGTCATAGCCTCGACGAAAATCATAGTGCTGGTGGCCACTCGTCGTCTTCATCTTTACAGGAACTCATTTATTTCCCGCTATATGCGTTGGAGATGCACGAAAAAGGGCGGTATTTAGATCTTGCAGACCCCAGACTACATGGTCGAGTTACTAATGAAGAGGTTGAGAAGTTTGTGCGCGTGGCATTGTGTTGTGTTCACGAGGAGCCTGGTATGAGGCCAAATATGGTAAATGTTGTTGGGATGTTGGAGGGTAATTTACCTTCAAGTCAGCCGAGGATTGAATTGTTGAACTTTTTGCGATTTTATGGGCGTCGTTTTACTGAGGCTTCAATGGCAGAAGAGTCCGGAGTTCAAGATGGGTTTACGTTACATCAAGAATCAAATGCTTCTCATACTAGCACGAATACAGTTTATAACACATGTTTCTCTCATGTGTCATCACAGCAAATATCGGGACCTAGATAGTCGGAAGTAAGCAAAAAATAAATCGTTAAGCATTACTTTTCCTAGATGAAAATGGTGTCTGGGATAGGTGACATTATTACGCTTTACAAACTCGCTTTCAGGACATGATGCCCGGCATAAGTTGCACTTAGGATGATATTTGCTTCTATCAGGATAAGAGATCAATTATGCTATTTTTGCATTTGATATTAGTTTGCTAGTGCTGTTTGTGCAGCAGGAGAGAACCAGATGTTGGAAGCTTGCTTGGTATTTATAATTTGGTTTGATTTTTTGTAGTTCAAATAATTCAATGACCATTTTAAATGTTTTAACAAACTTCATTGACCATTGCTGAAATTAATCCTTATTTTTACTGTAGGTTGTAAACTCGTGTTATCTTTTTGTTAATTTATTAAGTTGAGTTTAATATATATGTTTGATAGGACTTAAAATCCAATTAAAATTGAAAATATATTCGTTATTGGTCTCACTCATCTAATAAAAGTCAACAATAACGACTAATTTTTCAATTTTAATTCGATTTTAATCTCTACAGAACACACCATACTTTTTACTTACATCTTTTGATTTATAATTTTTCAAGTTTCTAAAAATATTTGCATAAAAATCAATCAACAAATAAAAATCCGCACCTAAGCAACGTACCACCAACTGCTGACGTGGAATCATGTTATTGGTTCTTCTCGCTCTGCTATTTTCATTGTCCAGTTATAATCGGACACATCAGAAATATAGAACCCAGGAAGCATGTGAACCGTACCTGATTATTACCTTGCCTTTATTTAAGGCTTGAGAACTATAGAGGAAGACTGGAGAGAGAAGTCGTTGCTACCATGGCTTACGTCGAGAGAGGTAAATTTCTCTCCTTTTTTAATTTTTTATAACTTGATAATATTTTGTTTAATTATTTGGAATAGGGTGTTATTTTTGCTAATATTGAGTAGAATTTGGTGCTAAGTATTTTGTTATTTATCAATCTTTTAATTGTCATGATTTTGAAATCCAGAAGATGTATGTGTCATATAATTTTTTGAGTTGTTATGGAGAGATCAATCGTTTAATTGTCAATTTTCATGATCGTGAACTCCAGTGGATCGTGAAATCAAGAATCGGTATATATGTTTAATAGTTGTTCGAGATGTATTGGGTTTCACCAATTCGGTTTATAATTTTACATAATTCATCACTTTTTTTTTTCGGTGCGTGAGAGGGAGACGCTGAATAAAATGATCCAGAATCGGGTCAAACTGTAGGAACTCTGAATTTTTCAGAGAATTAAAGCAGGCAATTTCGGTGGTGGGAGGGTCTGGGTGGTTGTACGCTGCGGGGGAATTGGAATAGGCATTTGGTCCAGAACTGATTCTGGACAACAATGTTACCAGTAGGCTGTTGAGGAAATATAGCAATGTTCGTAGCTAGATCCCAAGGATACGAGATTCTTCGGTAGAACCAACAAAAAATGTGTGAAGGACTTGAAATCTGGGTGGATATTATTGCATGGTATTTTCAATTCAAAACTTTCCCAACAATACAAAACAGCTTTGCGGATGTACATGGGATGTTTGAATATAAACCCATTCTAATCTTCAATCGAATACCCTTCTTATACAATAACAAAACTAAGCCTTTTTCGTCATAAATCTGGGGTCAGCTATGCGAATTGTTACCTACTGAAAGATTTAAAGCAACAAGATGCCCGAACTATATGTGTATTAAGTGCATATTGATGTCATTAGTTTGACAAAGCTGAATGTTGGCCATCAACCTAAGCTACAACAAACCTTCTCTTTTACTTGGACTTGAGAAGAGATAAAAAAACATAGGCACTATGTTTTCCTTTGTATGAAGAATTGAAAATTTAGCCAAGAACCTGAAGTGATATTAGAGGGAAATGAATATTGAGCACTTAAATCCTTCTAAGGGCAGAAGATGGCTGTTTATACTGTCATTTTAGATCCATTCATGAAACTTCATATTTTTTATTAGTAATCTTTTGTCATTTTTAAGCATGCTTATTCTTCAGTTAGATTTATACTCAAACATCCAATTCAACCTAATTATTCAGAAACTGCAGCTTCTAATATTCTTTGATCTAATTGAAGTCTGGTATCGTATGGTACCTCGTTCATGACATGTACTCATGCATAGGTGTCAGTCAGATAATTCAACATAACAACTTCATTGTCTCTCGGTGTTGCCTTCTGTTTTTCTGGTTCAAGAACGAACTGTTCTACAATGAGTTGTGAGATGTTATATAGACTCGCTATCTTCTACTTTGGTATCTAATGAAAGACGATAAGTTTGAAAAAATGAAAAATTTCCATTCAGTGAAATCCCTTTTTTGAAGGTAAGGCAGGTTGGTATAACAAGTTAATGCGTTTTTGTAGTCCAGTTTCTTTCTTATTGGAATATGGTTTGAGGGGCTGGAGTAGAAAGATGTAAAAGAGATCTTACACTAGTTACTAGGATATAGTGACATACCCCAGATGTCAACTTGGAATGGAATTCAAACGAATCTAGATTATTCAAATTCTGTCCCTTCAGCTGGTTTTACCTATAGGAAGAGAATGTGGCTAACAATAGTTCACATAGATTCAAAAAGTCGAAGTATAAATTAAAGGAATATATTTGGAATATGATAACCTTGAAAGGAGATTGAATTACAAATATATTCGTTACTCTATTTTTTATGAATAATTTCT